GGGGGAGGGGCCCTGCACTCCAGAGCCAATGTCCTGAGCACCCCAGTTCTCAGCCAGTAACTTCCCCCCCCAGCCTGTCCCCTCCCGCGGGCCCAGACCTGGACCTCCACCGTGTGAATGTACTGCCCTGTAGGCCCAGGTACAACCTCTGCTCCACCCCATCAATGGGGCCCAGAGTCCAGATTAAACGTGGGGGGGAAGACGCAGCCTGGGCCCCTCGGCCGCCCTCCATGGTCACCCCGAGGAACCTGCCCTCTCCACACCCAGCCGGCCCCACCATTCCTCCCAGCACCAGTGCCAGCCCCACGTGAGATGATGTGCACCTGTAGTGAGCCAGGGGCACCCCTCACCGATGCCGTGGCTCTCTGCACTGCTGGGGGGACCGCCCCCTCCACCAGGACCCTTGGGCTGTGCTCTAAAGCACCGACTCCCCTGATGTGCTGCCTGTGACCCTGACTTGCTGTGCAAGGCACCCTTCCCCTGGAGCTTCTCACAAATTACTGGTTCGCATGTGCCCTGCCTTAGAGCAACCCAATCCAGTTGTTAAATAAACCCCTGGGAAGCCACAGACCTTGACCCAGTTTCACCCAGGTTGTCCTTGGACGGCCAAGCCTGGGGAGGGCCTGGGGCTCTATATAGTCATCAAGGGTTGATCACAAGAAGGGAATGAGAAAAGGCTCGAAGGAGGAAAGCAGGAGCCAGTGTTAGACCCAAACGACAAATTAAGCAATCGGCGCACGCCTTCATGCCAGGTGCATGTCTGCTAGAATCAGAACAGTGAGCACGTGGAGCAGGGGCAAAAGGTTTCTTCCTGTCTGCTGGGAGGACCTGCCCGTACTGGTGGCCTCTCTGCAGCTGTCCCCCCACCCCCAGGCCAGGTCATGTCCCCCTCACCCCATCCCATTTCCTTACCATCCCACCACTTCTGCAGGGAATACCTCGTGAAAGGCCTGAGACAGTGAATTGGGATTTTAACTCCCTATCGCAAGTTGATTTCTTCTTCATTCCATTCACAGAACTTTCGCCCAGTTCTCGTCTTTGCCCCCTGTTGGTTTGAAGTGTTAGACTGTAGCCCCTGGTGTGTAAATAATGTACATAGAGTGAGCAGAAAGAGCCTTGATATTGAGGTGTTTGAAATATGGAACTGTAATAACTTCTAGGTATTCTAAACCTGTGATTTCTGTGCCATTTTCTGTAAAGATAAAGTAAGAATAAAATTGATGTAAAAACAGCCGGGGAGGGGTCCAGCAGTCCTGTGTGTGTGTGTGTGTGTGTGTGTGTGTGGCATAGAAAGCAAATCCATGAAGTCAGTTTTAGGTCAAATAGCTAGGTTCCTCTTTTAAAATTATTGCAACTGTAGAAGCACCGTGGCCTCTCTCCACTGAGCTGACATTTGTCACCTTCCAGTGACATTTATCACTGTGATACGGGCCCTCCTCCATCGCAGGCACATCTCTAATAGCCCAGCCCTTGAGTCCCGAAGTGATTACCTATGATTCCCTCCTGCTCCTCACACAATAGATTGCACTAACCTTTCCCTCTGGTACTTAACTTACGAACAACCCTGTTTCACCTACAGCCCACCTTGTCCCCCAAGAATCCTGACTCCTTCCTCTTGTGTATACATGGGCACCTGAATATCTTACATCACCACGTTAATTACACAACAAGTGGAAAAGGCAACGGCATCGGGAACTGCAAGTCAGAGGAACCCTCGCTAGTCCGAGAGAAGGAGTAAAAGACAAGCTGAGGAAGACTGCATGGACTGTGCAGACAGCTGGGGCCCACCTGCTCGGTGATGTGTGGGATGGAATTACAGCTGAGAGAGGAGGGAGCAGAATGGAGAGATTATATCTGAGCTGTTGGTTCAAGAAATCTTATGATGGTTTCAAATTGGCTCGGATGTGGAACTCATTGACACCACCCCCCAGGCCCCAGGCTAGGAATGCCCTTCCCCAGCACGCATCCTGCAAGGCCCCTCCTCCAGGAAGGACGTAGGACTTGTTTTGTCCTGGCACGTGGGACATTCCTCCATTAAGGTGTTTTCATGCAGTGTTGAAATTTCTTACTTACAAGTCTGTCTTCCTCACAAGACTGATTTCTTCAAGGGTGGGGGTTATATCTTATTCATCTTTAATCCCCAGGACCCACCAAAGGGCCCAGCACTCAATCCATTGTTGAATGAATGAATGAATGAATGAATGAATGTTCTTCCTCTAACTCACGCATTCATCCAATGACTTAAAAACATTTATGGAGCATCTGTGTATCAGCCAGTGGACAAGGCACTGGGAATAGAGTGGTGGGCAAAGCTGTCCTATTTGGAGGGGAATACAGATAGAATTCAAGTAATCACACCAATAAGACAAAATCGCAAATGTTCTAAGGCACTGGAGGCGTGAGATAAGGGACCATGAAAACATAACCACGGGGAAAAATCGGGAGGGGAAGAACCAAGATGGCGGCATAGGTTAATGCCAGAGATTCCTGCCTTGAACAACCAAATCAAAATACACCTAAAAGACAGAACAGACATCATCCAGAACCACAGGAAGGCTGGCTGAGTGGAAATTCTACACCTAGGAGGAAAAAGACTATCA